TTATACTGTATATGATATAAGAAATAATTATTTGTATTATTTTCTGTGATTTCATTAGAAGAACAACAAAAATAAATTGATTTCCAAAAGAATTTCTAATCATTTATCGCTAATTGACTAAAATATGATCCAAATTATGGGATTCAATGTTTATGGACCTAATTATGTAAGACATTTTTGGATCAAGTCTTGGGCGTTGTCTTTCACTCCAACTAAACTCGAGCACCAAATGAAAGGATAAGTAAACCATAGATTCGGTGATCAATTTGAAGGCAAACAAAACCACAGAATTAATGGTTTAATTCATGTGACAAATAAAGACAAATATATCATTCAATTTCATTATAATCGCAATACAAAAACTTTAAAACTTTAAATCATTTCTTATCACGAGTTTAGAAAAGTTTAAAAAATAGTTTTCCGAAAAAACTCTCCAAAACTTACGATAAGTTTAGAGAAATGAATGAATAGTTTTGTGAGACTCAGAGTCTAACGTGAAATACTGTGCCATATATTGGAGTGAATGGCAGTGAATGGCATTGAAGTGTTGTATGCATTGAATGCGTGAATCACTGAATCATTGCATTCAATGTGTTGTGTCTCTGAGTCTCTCGTATCGTATGAAAGCGTTTGAGAAAAAAGGTCTCATTTATTGTATCTCTGGTTATCATCTGATTTGGTCCACCCATCGCACCATTCATCAGACATCACTGCCAAACACCCCGTCATTTGAGTGAGTATTACCACAAACTGATAACATATCTGCGATTCACTGCAAGACATGACATAAATAAATGCATTTCTGATGACTGACTGTCTGTTCGGGTATTTAATTATCTCTTCGTATGACAGACAACACATCACATCACAAACCAATCGCCGTTTGATTCAATCGTTTGTGTGATATAGTGGTCAACGAAATGCTGAATTTGGGCGAAATCTTTCCCGACGTGTCGTCCCAGTCGACGGCCGGTGCCATCAATTTGTACGAGTATTTGGGCGACAATTGGGCTCTGGTTTTGTCGCACCCGAAGGACTTCACCCCCGTATGGTATGTATGGATCAATATTATGGTATTGATGACAATAACCCGTCTTATAGTACAACAGAAATCGCACGATTGGCTCAATTGAGACCCGAGTTTGAGAGACGAGGCGTCAAAGTAGTGCTCATTAGTTGCGATTCAGTCGATGACCACAACGCCTGGGCTCAAGACGTGGCCCACTATTGCGGATCTCAAGTGCCATATCCTGTATGTCTACCATTGAATTGAATTGGATGTGTCTTATATTGTCTTAATATGTCTTATATTCAGATCATTGGTGATGAAAGCGGACAAATTGCCAACCGATTAGGAATGTTGGATAAGGTATAACATCCCGGCATATGTACCGGTATTTGATATTAAAGTCAATATTGATTTTATACATAAATTTGAGATCAGATATCAATAGTCGGCCAAAAAGGCAGTAAAAGTTGTATTTGTGTTAATTATGAGTCAAAATGGATATGAGATTCACTCTCAGGAGTCGTAAAATACATTCAAAATGAATATTACATGAAATGAAAGCAGATTTATCTCACAGTTATTAATACTTTATTTTATTTATTTATTTGCATTTGAATGTAAGGCACAAACAATTCGTATGCCGTATAAAGCATTTGATTAGACATTAAAAAAGTTACATAAAATATTTGATTAATGTTTTAGTGTTTTATGCTTTTATTTGCCATTCATTTCCATTTAGATGAATATAAAACATACGGTTCTCTCAACTCTGTTCTCATTGAAGTTTTTGTGCAAAAAAAACTTGCAGTTAGTGTCTAACAAATCCTTTCATATTATTATTCCTTTTGTAAGGAGAGAGAGAGAGAGAGAGAGGGAGGGAGGGAGAGAGAGAGGGAGAGAGAGAGAGAGAGAGAGAACTAAACCAAAGTAAATCAAATGAGAGCTAAATAAATATTGGGACACAAATCGATTGAAATATTTGATATAAGAGTGTCAATGAATTTGAATGAGTATTATATTTGTTGCATTTGAATGGTGTGTAGGACTCGGATAAGATGGTGACAGTGCGGGCAGTGTTTGTGATCGGACCGGACAAGAAAGTGAAGGCAATAATCAGTTATCCGGCGTCGACGGGACGTAATATGGATGAGATCTTACGACTCATCGATTCGCTGCAATTGACGGCCAAACGCACGGATGTGGTCACTCCTGTCGACTGGAAGGTCGGCGGCGATCTCATTGTCAAACCCGGCGCTAACATTGAGGGCCAGACTGTGATAGGACTGCCCTCAGGAAAGGATTACTTGAAATTTGTTAAGAATTAACAAAACCCTATGAAATCCCGTGAACTTCAAAGAAATTGATATTTTATTACATTAAAGAAATTGTTTTTTATACGAACGTCACATAAAATCGATTTTTTCTCAGATATCAGTCCCAAACGATTATTCACTTAAACTTATTATTAAATAACAAATTATTCTCTTTACGACTTTCATAGGTAACTATAGATTTTGTAAACGACTTACCGGTAAATGATATTTAATACATAAAATGTTATTTCTTTCGCAATACATCACCTTTTATTAAATAAAATTATATTGAAATTAAAACATAAAATGATTTAACCGGATATTGACTTGGATATTTCCATGTCTTTAGACTCAGATAATAATAAAAATCTTCATTTAATCGACACTTGAGTAAAATAGTCTTATTTTCACTTAAAATTCAATTTTATTTGCATTTAGATTACATTTATTAAACCGAAAACAAAATCGATTGAATCGATTTACATGTTTATGAAAAATCTTTTCATTTCCAGTAATGCATCCGAAATACTGTGGTTTTGAGGTATTAATCGTTTACATGTTAAATATAGGGATTAAAGGGGTAAAGGATTAAATTGAAATGAATTCAAAAATAGGCATTTTTGTCAACATTTACAGTTAGAGTGCAAATAAAGTGTTAATCTCTTGATTGGTCTCTTAATGTGCTATAATTATTGAATTGAACGAAATGACATTCAATTATCATAAGTAGTGGTCTATCGGTGTTGACTTCGACGGCACAAGAGTTCATATAATTATATAATGACTAGAATTTGAGATTAAAATATAACTAATTATTTAAGCATTAAATATATATTTGTAATTCACTTTTAGAGAGCATTTTCCGTTTTGTCGATAAATCTATAATCGATTTTTGTTCGAAACAATTCATATATAATTAATTTAAAGATATGACTAATCCTTAAGTGAGTTAACAGTGGAAGTGAACAACTATTTCAATACTAGAACTTAAAAAATGAACTAAAAATTCATAATAAGTCAGTCAATACTGTCGGCGAAAATGAGATTAAAGTAAAGAGAGAAATGTTTAGTGCTTTCAAGACATTAACAATCTTTGTATTGAAATGAGAGAAATATAGTGGGGTTTGAGAGGGAGAGGCAACTGATGACTACTTCAGAGATCAGTAAATAATCGTTAAATATTAGGCATCACTTGATTGGGGATTGGGTGCGATTGTAGTGTTTGTCGTCAATTGAGTGGATTGTTGCGGTGGTGTAGTGTCGGGTGGAGGGGTGGGCGCCATATAGGACTGGTTGGTGACCACATTGGGAACAAACTTGAATTCATTGGTTTTGGTGGCGGTCTCGTAGTCGGGAGGGGCGCAACTCTTGGTCGCCTCCTCGTAATCAGGAGGTGCCATATGTGGCGGCGGAACCATCAGAGGCGGAATCACCAGCTGTTCCAACAGACAAACACAAAGACATTGAATTCATTTATTTTAATTCATTCCAAACAAAGCACTCAAATATACAATAAATTATAGGATAACGGATGAACGCAAAGACAAATGAGATTCTAATGAAAAATTGATTAAATTTCTTATCAATTGTTTATTATGTTTGCGAATACTGTATATGATCTATATATCTATGTATATGGTTATAATTAACGTGTAATTCAATTCCCAATCAGTTTGAAATTAAAAACACATAAATTATAGCGATCTCTGTTTGACATAAGAATATTGAATACGATATTTGCATTCATTGGGCCATTATTTATACGACAAAAAAGTTCGCTTTCCTATGAAAACAAGCGCTCAAAAGATTGGGTGTTTTGAGAGAAAAGAATTGGTTTTAAATACAATTTGTTTATACAATAAGAAGAAAGTAATGTAAACATTGCAGAAAGGGATGCAATGTATGGTTGGCTTCGCAAAGCAATCGGTGTATGACTGGAGAGAGAGAAAGACAGCGAAAAGATAACAAAATAATTGGATTGAGAGGAGTATTGAGAGTATATTGAGAGCAGTGATAGGGTTTGATATGAGAGTTGCGATCGTATTAATACAGTCTGTAATGTAAACCAAAGGAGTGTTTTGTGCGAATAGACAGACCGTAAAGAAAAGCGATGCGATTCCCAGATTGAGAGCACACAAGAAATAGTTTTATATCGTCTCATATAATGAATGTCAGTTCCGGACAGTCAGACATCAATACTCTTTAGAGGCAGACTCGAAGAATAATTGTTATCATTTGTGGTCAACTCTTCGCAAACAAATACTGTATTTATTATGACTATTAAAAGCTCAACAAATGTTTTCAACTACTTTTACGGTATAACATAATACAATCACTGAATCACTGGATACTCGTACTCTAGATTTACTCTATCGACATATACTCCACTTCATAATACACTTCATAATACACTTTACAGTACACTATCATATAGTCAACTATGTGTACAAACATTCTGTATACAGAATATTCTATTCACTATACAATTCAAACAATCAGTTTATTACTTGTAATCCCTTGCGTTCACATACACTCCATCCATATCTATAGACTGCACTTAATGCCATCAATCAATCATTCATTCATTAGTTAAATGTAAACAAATAATTCAATATTAGTTTCGCTTTAAATAATCATCGAAAAGACATTCGTATTCTCAACGGCTTTAATAGTTATCCTATAAGTACCATAAGTTTAAACAAAATTAAACTATTTTTATTCAATATTTCATTCAATTGTATTCGTGTTAAATGAGATGAGAAATTGATTTATTCGCGCAATTAATATAAACCAGAATTTATAGCCAAATGTCTGATATTTATTTCACCCATTAGTTCACTAAATAATAGCTTTTAATGACTTTTGAGTCTTTATAAAAAAGTATTTAATTGAGAAATATTTGTTTCGGTAATAAATTGCTTATTTAGATATCAAGAATAAATTGATTTAAAGCTCTCAAAAGTGTTGTTATATTTTTGTACTTAAATTACGATATTTTCTAAACAAAAGCCTAAAGACACAGAATATTCTGTGAAAATCTAATGCTCGACACAAACAAACAAAAACAAAAAATAAAGAAATGCTTTGAATGCGAGATATAATACTCACGTCTTGAGTGATATTATGGTTAAAGTGCGGTAAATGTAAGGGAAGGACGAGTTCTTTCATTCGGAGATAACGATAGCACTTCCAGACCACACACAAGAAGTAGCTCTTAAACAGCACTATAAGAGTGGTGAACAACAGGGAAGAGGTGTAGAGGTTGTTGGGGGAGGCGTTGGGCCAAATGTGGCGCATATCCAGAAACGAGTTGGTCCTCCGCTCGGACCAGTTCTGGTAGTGATGGCTATTGGGCTGTGAGTACAAAGAGGTGAGGAATTGGGGTAAAGTGAAGAGGAAGTCGATGAACTGGATGCCGAAGAAGGGCAGGATATACGTGGGCTTAGACTTAATCACTCCGAACAACAGCATCGCCGACACCAACGACAGCAACATATAGACCACAATCGCCAACGAAGTGGTCGTCGATCGCGAGGACTCGGACATCGACTGCACGTACGAGTTGTCCCCATAAGACAACAGCGCTATCGTCACTATACCACAGATCAGTGATCCTCCCTATGGGTCAACACATGGTTAGACACGAGTGAGACATAGGGTGACAGCAATGGTAATACAGACCAGATTGACGAGTGCCACGAAGATGGTGGCCGGCCTCACGTGCAGACACAGGCAGTAGGCGTGCCTCTCGATGGTCGCCACACTCTCCTCCATCAGTAACTGTCACCACCGGTTGGTTCCGATCGCAAATTCTCCGCCAATTCTTCGGCCAATTGTCAAATCAATGGTCAATTGGTTTGTGAATGAGATTCAAAACAAATGCAGATTTGAAGCAATGGTTTGAGTCGTCAATGGTTTCAATCAAATAGTGATTGGATTTCGCGTCCAAAAGGCTATTGTTTTCGTAATTCACGTCAAAAACAGTGATTTAATTGAAAATTATCCCCAAATATGGCTCAAAATGCACTCATATTTCAACAGACTTTCCAATATATTGCACATCAATTACGTCCACTTTTATGATACAAACACAGCGTTTAGTTTCAGTTAGATTTCATTTATAAATTGCAATTTTAGTTCAATTAAATTTTGTAAATCATTTCAACAAGTATAATTTAAAATCTATTGATTTGATATTAATACAAATAAGTGTATTTTCATCTAACGTTATAATATAGAAATTAAAGTGCAATTGAAGTACATTTCAATTTGTACGTGTATTGCTAGAAAGTATGCTTTAAGTGCTTTTACTTTATGCTGTGATTAATACATTGCATCCCTTTCTGCAATGTTTACATTACTTTCTTCTTATTGTATAAACAAATTGTATTTAAAACCAATTCTTTTCTCTCAAAACACCCAATCTTTTGAGCGCTTGTTTTCATAGGAAAGCCAACTTTTTTGTCGTATAAATAATGGCCCAATGAATGCAAATATCGTATTCAATATTCTTACGTCAAACAGAGATCGCTATAATTTATGTGATTTTAATTTAAAACTGATTGGGAATTGAATTCCACGTTAATTATAACCATATATATAGATATATAGATCATATACAGTATTCGCAAACATAAACAATTGATAAGAAATTTAATCAATTTTTCATTAGAATCTCATTTGTCTTTGCGTTCATCCGTTATCCTATAATTTATTGTATATTTGAGTGCTTTGTTTGGAATTAATTAAAATAAATGAATTGAATGTCTTTGTGTCTGTCTGTTGGAACAGCTGGTGATTCCGCCTCTGATGGTTCCGCCGCCACATATGGCACCTCCTGATTACGAGGAGGCGACCAAGAGTTGCGCCCCTCCCGACTACGAGACCGCCACTAAAACCAATGAATTCAAGTTTGTTCCCAATGTGGTCACCAACCAGTCCTATATGGCGCCCACCCCTCCACCCGACACTACACCACCGCAACACTCCACTCAATTGACGACAAACACTACAATCGCACCCAATCCCCAATCAAGTGATGCCTAATATTTAACGATTATTTACTGATCTCTGAAGTAGTCATCAGTTGCCTCTCCCTCTCAAACACCACTAT